TAAATTTGAATAATAGTGGTATTAACTGGGCTTCCCTGTAGGCGCATGGATATTATCCTATCACAGACAGCATTGTACCTCATGACTGATCTAGATAAGTTCTTTCTGATGATGACTGCAACATCATTCCTCTTTAATTAGTCATTTCCTACATAGTAAACCATGCGGTTGTCAGATTCAGAATGGCCAGTACAAGTGTATTTCAGCTCATCAATGCCTAAGATATTGATGTTTGTCAATATGCATTCCATTTCATTTTTGACAATTTTCCTAGATTCATACTTTGTACATTCCATGTTCCGGTTATTAATGGATGTTTACAGCTGTTTCTGTTCATTTTGAGTTGTGCCTCATCAGCAAATGAAGGTCCCATGGGCTTTACGCCATTTGTGTCATCACAGACTACTTTGAGGAGGCAGCTTCCCAGTGGCATTTTGAGTGCCTTCCAACCTCAGGGGCTCATTTTCCAGCACTATATCTGATAGTGTTTCACATTATTCATAAGATTTTCAGTGACTAAATATTCGGACGTAGTTCGTTACTCCTTCTTCCTAGTCTGTGTTCATCTGGAAGCTGTCCACCATGGGTAACCCTGCTGGTATTTCAAATACCCGTGGCATAGCTTCCAGAATCACAGCAACTCACAAGCCCTCACAGTACGACAAACTGACCGACGAGTGGTGGCTCCTACCTTGTAAGCTATACGAAATCAAGATATGGGCTGAGTTTGCCCTGTGAGCTGTAGGTAAGATATTGCCTACAGAGAATAGGGAAAACTTTTAGAAAATAATCTGGTTTTTAAATGCAGATTTGAGCTTGAAAGATAAAATTGAAACTTCCCAGATCAAAAATTCAGAATTGAAGGACATGATTTCCTGACTGGGTTCACCCAAGGAGGAAAAAGGTATAAGGCACCTCATTAAGCAGTTTCATAATACATGGGATACTGAGATAGTCCTAAAAGTTTTCTAGAGAGCAAAGATAGGGTATCAGGGTTGCATCAGGCTCCTCAAAAGAAGACAGTTGAAACTTATCTTCTAATTTGAAGATATTTTTTAACTTGCAATCTGAGTTCACTACAATTCTGTAAAACAATAAAGCCTTTCAGTATGCAAGAACTTAAAACATTTGTTTCAAATTCATACTTTTATCAAGATGCTCATTTTCTCACTCAAATAAGAAAAAATGTGTGAGAAGAAATATCAAGGATGCTGAAAACTTGGGTTTCCATCCAGAAGAAGCAAAGAGATTTTACAAAACACTGGGGGAAGGGAGCTCTATTTTATGCCAGCTGTGCAGGAAGCCTAGTGAGCTGTTAGTCCAGAGCATAGAGAGTTTGACCACATTGAGGCCAACACTTGTAACTGTGGAGAAGTTGGGAGATGTATTAATGATAGGAAACAGAGAGAGACAGTTATTAACACAACACAAGGAAGATTTGGGGAAAAAACAGCTCACGGAACCCTGTAGTGTACTTTGTGGTTCAGCTAAAAGTGGTATTCTGTTACAGAAAGATCGTGATGAGTAACTGTACTATGCAGATGGGGAGGGAGTTGTGAAGAATCAGTGGAATAAGAGAAGAAAACATGCTTTCTAAAGTTGAAAAGCAGCGAAGGAATGATACCATCAATGTTATTTAGAAATATTTCAAATTAACTGCATCTGAAGAATAGGAATTGGAGATGGCATTACTCTTTGACTTTTAATCATGTGTATTACTCTGTTACCAGTTAAAATTAGAGGTCTCAATTCTAGGAAACATGAAGTAAGCACACTCCACACTGCCCATCTCCACTGATAAATATAAGAAAAAACATAAACCAAACGATGAAATAGCTGTTGGAAGACCGAGGAAGACCAGAATTAGAAAAACTATCAGACAAAGTAGAATTCAGTGCAAGGAAATTAGGAATAAAGAAGGAATTATATAATGAGAAAAAGTTCACTTCATTCATCATTACACATTGTAATCCTACACTTCGACACACTTTTAAAAACTGATGAATTTGAAGTAAGTAAACCTTGAAGACTTCAATCCTTAGTAAGAAATCTCAGTCTTTTTGTTTACTAGAACTGGTAGGTGGAACACCAGTAGAGATACAGAAGACTTGAGCAGCCAATTTGATAGAATTGACATTATAGGGCACCTCACCCAACAATTGCAGACTAAACATCCTTTTCAAATACACATGGCACATTTACCAAGATAGACCCGACGAATTTTTATTATTTTTTTTGAAATCATGCCAAGAATTTTTCTCTGTCCACAATGGAATCAAACAAACTAGAAATCATAATAAATGTTTCCAAATACTTGCTTGATTTCCTCAGGGTGGACTCACACCTTTTACTCTGGTTAGCAGTCAAGTATGTTAACCATTTGTACTAGACCTACTCCTCACACCACCTAGACTAGATAGACGAATTTTAAAAAGACCGCAATAGTAAATGTTGGCTAGGATATGAGGAAATTGGAACTCTCATATATAGCTGGTGGGAATGTAAAGTTGTTCAGCTGCTTTGCAAAGCATTGTAGTCGTTCTTCAAAATGGGTAAACAGCTAAGTTATCATGCTGTTATGTTATGTGACATTGAGGCGGTTTCAAACAATTGTGTGTATGTGTATATATATATATATATGTGTATATATATAAGTGGCTTTGTTACATTGAAGTGATCATGCCTCATTTCTTTGTAGATGTATCCGACACAAAAATGATTGGGGAGCTCTTATTCTAGTGGATGATCGTTTCAGAAGTAACCCAAATCGCTATATAGCTGGTAAGATTTTACTTGGGATTATAGTATAAACCAGTAACAAACCATCTTTGGCATTTATGGACTGCTGTTTGGCTTTGTAAGATAAGCACTGGAGAGTGAACCACACGGTTGGTGTTTCCAGCCCACCAGCCATGGGTGAAAGATGAGGCTTCCTGCTCTCACAAAGATTTACAACCTTACAAACCGTACACAGGGGTGCTGCTATGAACTCAATGGTGTGTAACAACATTTTTAAGGTGGAGAATTGGAATTTCTAAATCATGCATGAAAATTTTATGTTGACTAGAAATCTAGCATTATATGCTATGTTTTTACACATAAAGAAAAATCTTTAAGAACCTTCAATTTTATAGAATGTAGATTATGGTACAGTTTCATGTTGTTACTAACTGCCACTGAGTTGGTTCCAACTCACAGGGACTCTGTATAGGATTTTTGAGGAACGGCTAGTAGGTTTGCACTGCCAACCTTCTGGTTCTCAGTCTAGTGCTGATCCATAGTGCTGATCCACAGTGCCACACATGTTGTTGTTAAGTGCCTTTGAGTCGGTTCCGACCCATAGCGACCCTGTATAGGGTTTCCGAGGCACAGATGGTAAGCTTGAACCACCGTTCAAACGGCTTTGCAATCTAGCTCATTAACCCACAGCGCCACACCAGGAGCCCAGTGCCACATGTTGTTGTTAAGTGCCGTTGAGTCGGTTCCGACTCATAGTGACCCTGCACAGGGTTTCCGAGGCTGTAAATCTTTATGGGAGCAGAAAGCCTCATCTTTCTCCTGCAGAACAGCTGGTAGTTTCGAACTGCTGACCTTGCGGTTTGCAGCCTGATTCGTAACCACAACGCTACCAGAGCTCCTTAGTGCCACATATGTTGTTGTTGTTATGTGCCGTGGAGTCGGTTCCGACTCATAGTGACCCTGTCCAGGGTTTCCGAGGCTGTAAATCTTTACGGGAGCAGAAAGCCTCATCTTTCTCCTGCGGAACAGCTGGTAGTTTCGAACTGCTGACCTTGTGGTTCGCAGCCCGATTCGTAACCACTACGCTACCAGAGCTCCTTAGTGCCACATATAGTGGTACTTAAATTTTGTAACATTGCCAAGGAACACCTGTTATACAGAAATGATTTTTCCTAAAACTTAAGCACACAGGCACACTTCTTTTGGTTGTTTTGTTCTCTGTTGTGTTGTTGTGGGTTTGTTTGTTTGTTTTGAAGTATTTCCATTGTTTTAGAAGTTAAATCATCCATGCTAGTGTTTTTTGAAAGGAAGTAAAGTACTACAGCATGTAGTAAGAACAAGTAGATGGTCAAGTGTTTCCTATTCAAACCAACAAATACAAGCGTACTTCAAAAAAGTTTTAGGAAAAATTCCATTATCTTTTAATTTAATTTTTTTCTATAAATTCTGAAGCCCCATCTGTTATCACATCCTCTAAAATGTCAGTTTGTTTCAGATTAGCTATCTATGGAGCTCTGGTAACATAGTGATTAGGAATCGGGCTGCTAACCTCAAGGTCGGCAGTTTGAAACTACCAGCTGTTCCTCGGGAGAAAGATGAGGCTTTCTGCTCCCATAAAGATTTACAGCCTCGGAAACCCTGTGCAGGGTCACTATGAGTCCGAACCGACTCCACGGCACTTAACAACAACAACCTACCTTTTCCATTTCAGATTATAATTGCTATACTTGATTTGACATTAAAACATATCAATCTGGATTAAATGAGAATATATTGCTGTGGTTACCTTTCTTCCCCCATCCCCCTCATCCCCCCTTTCCATGGGAAGCAAAGAATTGAGCTTAAAGCCAAAGCATAAGTCAAGGCAAAAACGTTAAGTGCTCACATTTACTAAGCAGATGGAGCTCAGATACTTTCAAACTATGACACTTTATATGTAAAAGACTTGCTTTAGAGAATTTCATATTATTGTTATTATTTTCCCTAAACAAAGATAAAGAACTTTAAAAGAGAAATGCTTCTGTAAAATTGTTTGCCTTAAAACATGGTTTAAATTTGTTGAGGTTTATTCTAATAAATATCTATTTACTTTTATTTCTGATACTCACAAAATGTGAGTTCTTGGCTAACAACCCAACAAATTCCTTTTGATGAGTATTTTTTGTTTAAACTTGATTTGCATAAATACAGATTGTAAACAACTAAAGGAATGTATTTGAAATGAAAGTATAGTAGCTAAAATTGCTTGAAACCCTGATTCATCTGCAGAAAATACTTATTTAAAAAAACAGCAAACTCCACTCAGTATGATTCATTTTTATGCAGTTTTCTAGTTATGTCCCTTACAATTCGATTATTTCTGTATTAAATATATATATATAATAGGTTCAGAATAGGATATGTTTTGTCCATAAATCACTGTTATTTTTTTCACCTCCCCAAACAGTATTAGATGTACTTGGAATCTTTGAAGGGGAAATAGAGGTAATTTTTATGGGAAATTAAATTTGCCATATTCCTTAGTTTTATTCTCAGCATAGAATAATGTGATAACCTCACCTTTACTTCAACTGTTTTTCAGAAAGCTTCAAAAAGTTCATCAAAAAATGAAATTAAAAATTTTTGAAGCCCCCTCAAATAAAGCATATTGGTTAAAAAAAAAAAAAAAGTGTTAAGAACTATTCTATATTCTAGAACTATTCTATATTCTGTAACTGTAAATTTATTATTGCTCTTGTGTGTTCTCAAATCAGTTCAAGAATGAAACACTTGCCATCGTTGTGTCTCAGAAGCATTCCGACTGCACTTCTTCCAAATAGACTTGTTTGTTCTCTGGTGGTATAGTTAATCTTCAACACCTCTGCTGTAATTCAAATGCACCAATTCTTCTTTGTTGTTGTTGGGTGCCATCAAGTCGGTACCGACTCATAGCAACCTTATGCACAGCAGAATGAAACACTGCCCGATTCTGGGCCGAGCTCATCCATGCTGCCACTTCGCCAATTCATCTCATTGGGGTTTTTCCTCTTTTTCTCTGACCCTCCATCCTACCTAACATGATATCCTTCTCCAGTGACTGGTCCCTCCTGACAGTATGTCTGAAGTATGAGAGACGAAATTTGGCTAGCTTGGCCTCTAAGGAGCACTCTGGCTGCACTTCTTCCAAAATGGATCTATTGGTTCTTTTGGCAGCCCATGGCACTTTCAATATTCTCCTCCAACACCATAACTCAAAGGCATCAATTCTTCTGTGGTCTTTCTTATTCACTGTCCAGCTTTCGCATGCATGTGAGATTATTGAAAACACCATGGCTTGGGTCAGGCACACCTTAGTCCTCAAGCTGACATCTTTCTTTTCTCTTCAACACTTTCAAAAGGTCTTGTGCAGCAGTTGCTTGATCTCTTGACTGCTGCTTCCAGGAGTGTTGATAGTTGATCCAATAAGAATGAAGTCCTTGACAACTTCAATCTTTTCTCCATTGATAAGAATGTTGTTTTCTTGACATTGAGATGTAATCCATACCGAAGGCTGTGCTCTTTGATCTTCATCAGTAAGTGTTTGAAGTCCTCTTTACTTTCAGCAAGCAAGGCTGTATCATCTGCATATCGCAGGTTGCTAATGAGTCTTCCTCCAATCCTGATGCCACGTTTTTCTTCATATAATTCTTCTTTGGTCTTTATTGTCTAGCTTTCACATGCTTACGAAGTTACTGAAAATCCCATGACTTGGAATCAGACTCACCTTAGTCTTCAAAGTGACATCTTTGCTCTTCAACACTTTAAAGAGGTCATGTGCAGATTTGCCTAATGCAGTATGTTGTTTGATTTCTTGACTGCTGTTTCTGTGAATGCTGATGGTGTATGTGACCATAAGTGTTTCTGTTTTCTGTCATCAGTTGGTCCAGTTGTGAGGATTTTTGTTTTCTTTATATTGAGTAATCTTACTAACGGCTGTATTTTTCATGATTTCCCATCATAAGTGCTTTACGTTACACTTTCAATATGCAAGGTTGTGTCTTAGTGAGCCTTCCTCCAATCCTGATGCCATGTTTGTTTTCATGTAATCCTGCTTCTCAATATTTGCTCAGCATACAGGTTGAACAAGTATGGTGAAATGATACATGTACCTTTCCTGATTTTAAACCATTCAGTGTCCCCTTGTTCTGTTTGAACAACTGCCTCTTGGTCTATGTACAGGTTCTTCATAAGCACAATTAAGTGTTCTGGAATTCCCATTCTTTGCTATGTTATCCATAGTTTATGATCCACACAGTTGAATGCCTTGCCATAGACAATTAAACACAAGTACATTTTTGGTATTGTTTTCAGCCAAGATTAATTAATCTGATTTGTTTTACTATGTTTGAGTCTAATGAGGTTTATACTATCCACTGGGGCTTGGAATTTTTTTTTTAATTGCATGAGATAAAGTTTAATAAATTGGATTGTATAGCTTTGTTCTACTTTAGGAACAGATGTTGGACAGCTGGAATCTTGTATGTCTTCATTTCTTCTTGCTCATATGCTGTCTCTTGTAATGGTTGAGCATTGACTAATTCTTTTTGGCACATTTGTCCATAGAATCCTTAAATATTGCAAATCTAGGCTAGCATGTTTTTCCCTTTTGGATTTATCGCTCCAGGTCTTGGTGCACATTTCATTGAAAATTTCAATTTAACTCTTTTACTTCATCATGTCTTCCATTCTCAAGTTTCAGAGTCTCTTCTAGCATCCATTAGTCTTTCCTTTTTTTCCTGTCTTGTTTTAGGGACCTTTTACTTTCTTCATTTATGATGATCCTGATTATCATTCCATAACTCATCTGATTTTTAGTCATTAGTATTCAGTGTGTCAAATCTGATCTTGAGATGGTCTCTAGACTCAGATGGGATATACTCAAGGTCTTATTTTTTGGCTCTTGTAGACTTGTTTTCATGTTCTTAACCTTCAACCTGAATTTACACAGATGAGCAGTTGAAAGTCTTCTCTACAGTCAACCTCTGGCCTTGTTTGGACTGGAGATATTGAGCTGCTCTATTGCCTCTTTCCACTGATACCAGTTTTATTTTAATATTTAATAGCACCTAATATCTTAATAGGGTCTCTATGAGTCAGAACCAACTTCACAGCACATAACAACAACAATATCTTAAGAGTTGGGCTGTTAAACAAAAGGCCGGTGGTTCAAATCTACGAGCACTCCAAAGGAGAAAAATGGTTCAGTTTGCTTCTTAAAAGATTTACAGCCTTGGATACTCTATGGACAGTTCTACTCTTTCCTACAAGATCTCTATAAATTGGAATTGGCTGTATGGCAGTGAGCTTAACATCTTAATAACTAAGTAATCAACTTATCCTCCCTGATTTCCTTTTTTCCGTAGGACTTTCTAAATGGGTGCGGCAACAGATTCGGCACCATTCAACATTTGAAAGTGCACTAGAATCCTTGACAAAGTTTTCCACAAAGCATCTGAAGGACACTGGCATATCTGTAGAGGACAATCAATCTACACAGGACAATGAGGGTATACTTGAAGTGACCTGTTTTAAAGACAATACCCCAACTTCTTTACTGAATGTAGAAAGTCACCTGTCACCAAAAAATCCTAAGGAAGACAATACAAAACTGTGTGTCCAGGAGCTCCAGTGTCTGAAAATGCTAACTAAAACTCCACCTCCATCAAGTGACACCATCTCCAGAAAGAAGAAAAGTATGAAAAGTTCCCTTTACTTACATTTGATAGAAAAGTCTTTGTTAAGGAGTCCTGGTGTAGTACTGTTGGTCTGAACTTCAAGGTCGATAGTTCAAAATTCACCAGCCACTCCTCAGAAACCCTATACAGGGTTGCTATGAGTTGGAACCAACTCAATGATACTTTCCTCCTATACTAAAATAGAATTGTTATTGTTAATTTATCATCCTGGTGTGGCACTGTAGGATAAGCACTGGACTGCTAACTGAAAGGTCGGCAGTTCAAACCTACCAGCTACTTCTTAGAAACCCAGTAATAGGATTGCTATGAGTTGGAATCAACTCAACAGCAGCATCATAAAATAACAAAAGACTGTGGTGTATTGGAATGGAAACTAACTTCTTTGTCAGGAGACCGTATCATATTTTCTGATTTGCTTCTAGTTAGCTTTGTGATTATATAAGCAAGTCGCTTAACTTTTTTGAGTCTTGAGAGAATACCTGTACAGATAGGACAACGGTGTAAAGTACTTACACGTACAGATGTAGGTGGTTTCCTAAAAGGTATATAGAAATTGGCAAAATTTCTTTAACTCAAATTTTTGAGTTTTTTTAATCTATGCCCCATGGACCAAGTTCAACCTACTCTGTTTGTAAATAAAGTTTTACTGGAACGGAGCTACATCTATTCATTTATATATTATACATAAGAGCAAGGTCGAGTAGTTGTACATTAACACATTCAAACAACAAAATTGAGTAGCTGAAACAGAACATGACCTGTCACAAAGCCTCAAATATTCACCATCTGGTCCTTTACAGGAAACATTGCCAACTAACGGTTTATACTATTGAATATAATTTTAATTGTCTAAATTCATGTGTCCTGGTAACTTACTATGTCACTTTTAAAACACTTACTATGTAGTATATGTTTCTATTCTAAATGAATGTCTTACTGATTGGAAAGCACTTTGACTAACAGTCCGGAGTCCTGGTGTGGCACTGGACTGCAAAAGTCGGTGGTTCAAGCTCACCAGCTTCTCCTCAAAAACCGTATATACAGGGTTGCTATGGGTCGAAACCAACTTGATGGCAACTTATTATAAACAGTGACTGAGAAAAGCTGATCTGGGGTTTTCAAGGCAGATTTTAACAGCCTGTTGGTCTTACTTCTCTTTCTGTTTATTCCTCATTCAAGTCATAGGGCCTTAGTGAGAAATTTGATGGTTTATGAAACAGCATTATAAATTGGACTTGGAAACATTACAGTCCTAAGATGCCTTTTAGAATTAACATTCTGTGTTTTAAGGAGTCTTGTTATTACTGATCGTAGGCGCTACATTAAGTAACCTATAGTACAAGCATTGGACTGTTAGCTACAAGGTTAGCAGTTCAGACCCACCAGCCACTCTCAGAAACCTTATACAGGGTTGCTATGAGTTAGAACTGACTCCATGAGAAACAACAGAGTTATTTAAGTATTTCTAATGATCATTTTAAGACAGTAATTATTATGTTAAGCTAGGGACAGAATTAAAGTTTTTGAATTTTTGTATTCATAGGTGATCCAGTATTTTCAGAAGACTCTGTCCAATCAATGAAAGGAGGAAAAAAGGTGATTTCCAGATCTACAAGCCCAACCTTCAGCAAACAAGCAAAGAGCACCAGTTGGTCTAACTTTCATTCTTTTGAACAGTATTGTCCGGGTAAAAGCCTGACTGCAATGCCTGAGCTCAGGATATCAAAGGACTGTACATCTACTATCAAAATAGAAAAAATGGAAAATAAAACTGTTTTACCACTCACTGATAAATCTGAGTCCTCATCTCTGACAAGAAACACATCACTTGGGCCATGCCTTCCATCAGAAGCCATTATTTCACCAATAAAGACTGATACTAGTGATACTAAACAAAATCATCTGAAACAGCCACTCTGTTATGAAGAAACTCTGGATCCGGACATTGAAATGTCTCTACTAAATAACGAAGCTCAACTTTCCACTTCATACAGAGCTTCTGAAACAGAAGAAGACGAATCTATTTATTTTACACCTGAACTTTATGACCCTGTGGATATAGATGAAGAGAAAAATGAACTAGCTGAAACTGATAGAAGCAATAGATTGGTTAATAATTCAGATTACTTTTTAGCTGAAGACTGTTTTGAATATAGAACTATGAAAGGAGTGGATTCAGACAGCGAAATGAAAGCTGAAGATTGCATAGACATAAAGTTGAATAAAAGCATACAAATTGAAGAAAACAAAGTTGATAATAATAATATAAAAACAACTAATATAAATGACTTCGGTCACGGAAGAACTCATGAAACTGATATAAAGAACTTTAAACCATTTTCCTTCTGAAAAATAAAGATGTGTTCTTGGTGTTAGGTAACAGTATTTAACTGATATGCTGTAAAAGTAGATATCATGCTTTTATATATTAAACTCTTATAAATAACAATTTATACACTGGATAAGTCGTTTACTTTTTTTTTTAATTTGAGGTATTGATATACTTTTTAATTCATTGTCAGACTTTAAAATTATTTTATGTTCAGAAATGTAGTAAATTTCACCATTCTTGAGTTTTGATAAAATTTTCATCCAACAAATATTTTCATCCAACAACTCTTCCTTAGCAAATGCAATATAGATTTCACGTTAAGTATTTGTTGCATATTGTAGCCCCCTTCCTCCATTTGTTTTCATACATACATAATTCGTTGTCTAATTTAGTCATACCTCAACCATGTTTTACTTCAAATTAGTCTGATTTTTTTAGGAATCAGATGATGTCTTAAAAAGTCTCTTTCACTATTAACCTTGCTTATTTATAAGTTAAAGCAAAGTGAAGGAAGGAAATACACATCATGTGTTTTAAGTTTGTTTTTAACATTTTTTGTTTGATCAGTCCAAATCAAGCATGTTACAAACCAATTTCTGTGAAGTTATAAAATGCTAAAGTAAGAACTCAAAAAAATTTTCTTCCACTTTATTTAGCTTCCTCATTATGTAGGACCAAATGATATGTTCTATTACAGAGACTTTAATCATTCAGCTGTTAAGATACGAAACTTGATATATATATTTGACAAACAAGGTCAGATATATAGCTGTACCTGAATGTGTTCCATTTCCATTATCACACAGCCAGATTTTCTCTGAATTAGGGTATGCAATATTTTTGTGGGTGAAGCTGTTATTCTGATCATTATGCTTATAAAACATACAGTTTTCTGATGTCATTCTAGCGGTACATTCTTTGATCTTTTTCTAAGTAAGTTCTTAGTTCAATGAGTATTTAGGTATCTTATGAGTTACTTGAATTGAAATTTGATCAGCTGTTTAAATTGTGTATGTGGTCTATTTCAAGCCCAAATCCCCTATAATCAGTTTTTCATTTGCATAAGATGAATTATTATATTTTTCGTTTTACTTTAATGATAGCTTGTTTCTATAACATTTGGATGTTACAATGCTAAGCATAATTCAGTGAAACTTAAACTGATTATTTACCAATGAAATAATTCACCTACTGGTAGCGTAGTGGTTACGAATCGGGCTGCGAACCTTAAGGTCAGCGGTTCGAAACTACCAGCTGCTCCGCGGGAGAAAGATGAGGCTTTCTACTCCCGTAAAGATTTACACCCTCGGAAACCCTGTACAGGGTCGCTATGGGTCGGAACCGACTCGACGGCACTTAACAACAACAACAATATACATTTAAATATATTAGATCCTGCCTAGTATTAGATCTTTTTCTTAGTTGATTTGGTGAGTAGTAAGTTAAAAGTACTAGAATAGAAGGTAATTTCTAAAGTGTTTCAAAAAGGTACAACCATTTCTCCCTTTGGCATTATTATTTTAACACAGATAAGGATAGTGTCTTAAGATAGTAGAAAGAACACCAGGCAGAAAGAAAAACTTAGGTTCCACTCCTGGCTATGCCACTAATTTGCTAAATCATTGTGAAGATTGATTGATGTGTGTCAACTTCCTAGGCTAGGATTCTAGATGCTTTGGCAGACGGATTGCTCTTTCATAATGCAATATAATACAATCACTCCCTCTCCATTGTGCGATCTGATGTGAGCAGCCAATCAGTTTTCATGGGTACTGGCTTGCATCCAATATATATGGATGTTCTAGCCAAGCACCTAACTTTTCCTTTCTCTGACCTCTAGTTCTTGAGACATGAGTCAGAAGCCTGCCACCTCAACTGCAGGTTTTGAGTTCATTGACTGCTGCCATAATTCAGTCACGAGAAGCCTCCAGCCTGATGCCTGGCACATGAATTTGGGACTTTCCAGCCTCCACAACTGTGAGAGCCATTTCCTTATCTCTATATGTTGTTGTAGTTAAGTGACATTGTACACATATACACATACATATAGCTCAAGAGGAGAACTATCAGTGAAGTATATGTATACATATACATATATGTGTTGTTGTTGTTAAGGGCCATCAAGTTGGTTCTAACTCATAGCGACCCTATATATGGTTCCAAGCAGCAGCTGGTGAGCTCGAACCACTGACCTTGCAGTTCCAACAGACCTTGCAATCCAGCACATTAACCCACTATGCCACACCAGAACTCCATCTATGTAACTGTCTATATCCACATATATACTTCATGGTACCATTGAGTCAGTTCTGATACATAGGCACCCTGTATACGGTTTCCAGGGAATGGCTAGTAAGCTTGAACCACTGACCTTGTCGTTCAGACCGACTTTGAAATCCAGCACATTAACCTACAGTAGTACCACACCAGGACTATCTATAGCCAAATATATCCATTTTATATATATATATATAAACTTCACGGTTTTTCTCCTTTTGAGAAGCTAGCCTAAGACATCTGGCATTGAGAGTGGTGCTAAAGGAACAAAATCTTAAGGATAAGTTTTCTGAATTGGTTTTCAAGTCTTACTAGACCTAAATACATTGATATCATCCCAAGCTTTGAATGATTGGGTCTTTGAGACCTTTCAGCATTTCTGTCAAACTGAGCAATATAGGGAGACTGGTTGGTCCTGCTTTCACTCAAAAAGTGGCGAAACCAAAAGGTGAGCTCAGGCTTCAGAGTCACAGCTCAGCACAGTACTGAAGACCTGAGAGTTGCTACTTGTCCCCTGAAAGAAATCCTGTTTCTTGTAGTAACAGGGCTGATATTGCTGAAAGCCAAACCCAGAGTCTTGCCGAATTAAAATGTCAATTGAATTCCCAACCTCAAATGATCTTTGAAGTTAACAATGGAGTGCTTCATTTGGGAAGAAATGGGTTCCTGAAACTTGGAATGAGAACCTATGGACAGATAATCAGGAAGCAGGGGACATTGTTGGTAAGTGCTGTCAATCAGTTCTGACTCATAGTGACCCTGTACAGCATTTCCCAAGACAGCTGGTGGGTTTGAACTGCCAACCTTGTTGTTAACAGTACAGTGCTAATCCTACATCACCACACTTGTTAAGTGCTGTCGAGTTGGTTCCGACCCATAGTGCCCCTGTATGGGGTTTCTGAGGAACAGCTGGTGAGCTTGAACCGCCGACATTGCAGTTAAAACAGCTTTGCAGTCTGGCTCATTAACCCACAGCACCACACCAGGACTCTGTCACCATACTGTTGTTGTTAAGTGCCGTCGAGTCAATTCCGACCCATAGCGACCCTGTATAGGGTTTCCAAGGAGCAGCTGGTGAGCTTGAACCACCGACCTTGCAGTTCAAATGACTGTAGTCTAACACATTGGTCCACAGTGCCACACCAGGACTCCCTATTGGATTGAATCACTCCTGTCAACAGAATCGACCCTGGATAGATCACTCCATCTTTGTCTGCTAAGTCACACTCCCTAGTAAAACCTGGTGTTAGAGGAGAATATTGAAAGTGCCATGGGCTACCAAAAGAACCAATAGGTCCGTTTTGGAAGAAGTGCAGCCAGAGTGCTCCTTGGAGGCCAAGATGGCCAAACTTCGTCTTTCATACTTGACATATTGTCAGGAGGGACCAGTCTCTGGAGAAGGATATTATGTTTGGTAAGGTGGAGGGTCAGAGAAAAAGAGGAAGACCCCCAGCAAGATGGACTGGCCAAGTGGCAGCATCAATGGATTCAAGTGTGGCAACAGTATTGAGGTTGGCCCAGGATTGGGCAGTGTTTCGTTGGGGGCGAATTGCAGAAATCATTGCCATCAAAGACTTACCAGAATGTAGGTGTGGCGATTCTCACCACATCCCCGTTCATATCGTCTACTTGGCCTGATGTAAAAAACATGGTTCTTAGAAAATGAAAGCAGTTTCCTATAAACTTAGGCAGTGATTCCCATTGCAGCTGTTCCAGATGTACTATCATTTCTTGACCCCATGTATCTCCTAGTACTTGGTATGCAGCTGCTGATCTGGCTAGTGCCTTTTTCTCCACACTGATTCACAGACTCTCCAGAAGCAGTTTGCCTTGAACTGGCCAGGCCAGCAATATATCTTCCCTGTCCTATCACCTCTCCAGCCCTGAGTGATCATTTAGGTCACAGGGACCTTGATCTCCTTTTCCTTCCACAAGACATCACACTGGTCCATTACATTGATGGCACTTGCTGATTGGACCTCAAAAGAAAGAAGTTATCAATGACTCTAGACTTACTGGTAAGACATTTGGGTTCCAGAAGACAGGAAATTAACACTACAAAAATTCAGGCATCTCACTGAAATTTCTAGGGGTCCAGTGGTATGGAACATAACAAGATACTCCTTTTAAAGTGAAGGGCAAGGCAGCCTATGGGAGGTATGGTCAAGATAGGAGCCTAGGTAAATACACTATTCACACCCTCTAGAACAAACAAGAGAAACAAAGTGAAACAAATATATTTAACAAGTTTCAGAAGAAAGACACTATTCACACCCTATAGAACAAACAAGAGAAAAAGTGAAAAATATATTTAACAAGTTTCAGAAGAAAGGATAAAGAAGTAGACCAAATGCTGATTAAAGGAAAAGACAGAACAAAAGAAAATCTGGAAAGAGAAAAACTTTTGGAACTACCTGATATGGAATTCAGGATACATACTTAGGCTCTTGCAGCAGATTAAGAAAGAAATCAAAGGGGAAAAAAAGACAACACTAAGGAAATCAGACAGAATCAAGAAGAACACAAGACAATTCTAGAAGAATTCAGGGAAACACAAAACAGGTCGACAAATAAAACTGGAAATCATAGAAAAATAGAGATCCAGAAGATCGATACTAAAAATTTCAGATGTAACTCATTGAAAGAGCAAAGGAGTAAAACAATCAGTGAACGCCAAATATTTTAACACTAATCTGTTAGAGGAACATTCAGAAAACGTAATGAAAAGAAAAAAAAAAAA